GATGCAGTTTATCCCCCTCAGTCAACTCAAGGACTCATTAACTGGATTTGCTCCTAACGAGCATCAATCCAGGCAACGGGAAATGGCCTGAAGCTGGTTCTCAGGGGGCACCTCATAGTCAGTGTCCCACAACTGAAACAAAGTCTGAGAGTAAGTCAGATTTTCAAAGGAGCCAGGATGTGGGTGGTATCATCCTGCATTATTGTGAAGGAGACCAGGCAGACTCTGAGAGGGGGTCTGAGAGGGAGAGGAAGAGAGGAAGTGGCCAGATGCTGGGACTGGCACAGCAGAGGGAGGCAACTGTTGGCACAAGGATGATGGCAGAGAAATATTCTTGAGACAACATGCCCACCCACTCAAACTGTCCCTAAAAATCCCAAATTCCTTTGAAAGGAGAAGTTAAAACTTTTTTGAAAGGAGCAAGTGTAGGAGGTGAAAAAGGAAGAGAACTCATGTGAGGAGAGCTCAAGAATTGGGAAATCATTCTAGGCTGTGACGTTACAGCAACGCACCAGTCAGGGCTTGGAGCACTGTAGCCTAGTCTTCTTACCACTGGAGAGCAGAATCCTGGGCTAGGGCCTTGCCTGTTTTCCCTGAATCCACCATGGGCTCCAGGCTCCTGTGCTGTGTGGCCCTCTGCTTCCTGGGAGCAGGTGAGTGAGGGGCCCAAGTGGCAGGATCCACTCTGAGTCTCTCTGCCCTTTCACCTCTCCAGCAACAGGCTGCCTCCTAGGACTTGTCTGAATTCTGCCTCTTTTCTTCTCAGGTTCCCTGGACACAGCAGTTTTCCAGACTCCAAAATACCTCATCACGCGGGTGGGAAATAAGAAGTCCCTAAGTTGTGAACAAAAGCTAAACCATAATGCTATGTACTGGTATAAGCAAGACTCCAAGCAATTGCTGAAGATTATGTTTTCCTACAGTAATAAGGAGCTCATTCTAAATGAGACAGTTCCAAGTCGTTTCTTACCTGAACCTCTGGACAAAGCTCATTTGAAACTTCATATCAACTCGTTGGAGACAGGTGACTCTGCTGTGTATCTCTGTGCTAGCAGCCAAGACACAGCCCTGCAAAGTCACTGCCTCCCTGTGCACAAACCTGCTGGCCCAGCCAGGAAGCTGTGGGAACAACGTGTTCACCCAACACACCCTGCTGTGAGACCCCTGACTGGAGTTCCATCTGTAGTATAGCTCACAGTACCCAATAGGGTAGTTCTGTAGTTTGTATGCTCAAAAGTCTTCACAATTCTTACTCATCAGCTAGAGCAGGGTTTCTAATAAATTTACTGAAGTACTCAGGACTCTAAAAACAAGTAATGGCCCTGTCCCAGGCACTGAAGATCTTAACTAATGGAAGAAGCTATTCCTTTCCTTTCTCTGCTGTACATCTTATACATAATGTGCATATTACACATAACAATATTATTAGAAACATACTTCTGGCTAAAAATGTTTGATGAGTGAAAATTAAAAGGAGAGGTGACGTTTCTAAGACCAAAAGGAAATTCAGATTATCAGTGAGTTCCCTGGTTAATATAAAAATATTTGGAGAAGCATGAAATCCATGGCAATAGATAAATTAGACAGAAAGGGTGAGGGGGAAGAGCCAATAGAGGTACACTTGTGCATTGCAGACTCTCTCTCTTTCAGCTTAACAATAACCCACAACCGTCGGACCAACTGACTCTCTCTCTTTCAGAAGGATGACCAGTATGATGGTTCCTAATTCTGATTGAGTGTCATCTCAGAAGTGTCCTCCAGTTAAGACAGTAGCCAGATGATGGAGAATATTATGAGACATGGAAAGAAAAAAAGGGGCACAAATCTCTAGGTAGTAGCTAAGCTAGTCTTTGATCCTATCTTAAGTAAGATAACGTGATAAAATTTTTGTTTTGGTACAATAACAATGGTAGCAGTATGGGTAAAAAGGCGAATAGATTTTGGGTAGACTGAACTACTAAAGAAATTACTAAAATATTTTATATGAAAGATATAAAAAGATTTCTGTGGGACATTGTGGGTGATGTAGAACAGAGACTCTGGATTACGTTATGTTCTTATAAAGAGTGTTAGGATTCATCCTGGCAGGTTTAAATGCAGGATTTGCTAGGATTTATTTTAGTTTGTCCCTTTTTTTAGGGCGCCCTAGCATCTGTCCTTATTACTAGTGCATGGCCTTTCCGGGGACTCAGTGGGAATCACAGCGTATTCTCCAATGTGACTGTCTTCTGAAATCTCAGCTCTCCAGCCTTTTACCACCTGTTTTCTCCTGAGCCTTCTAGAGTCCATCCAGTGCATGCACATTAGAAACTGGCCAAGGAAAAGGGATTTCCTTACATGTATTCTTGGGGCTCCTTTTCAGTACTCTATTCACCAAATCTGAGATGTCTTGGAATCAGTTATGTCTTTCCTATTTACCTCCAAGCAACATATGCCATTACTATTTTAAATAGACAATGTTTGCTTGAATATACTGATATGTTTACCATTCACTTTTTCACTATTCCTTCATGCAATCAGACCACCCACAGATTATGTTCCTTCTTCAGGCATATTCCCTAATTCAAATAACTTAAACTCACCTTTCACCTACCACTTGCTTTGGGAAATATTTATTTTAGCTAATGTTTCAGGGCACCAGAGCTTTTCACTTTCACTCATTGTTTGAGGTTTCAATTTAAATTGTGTTGTTTGTCATACTTGGAATTTTTCTTATTTATTGGGAGCCAAACAATGCAATGAAATTCTATTTATTCAGACTTTTGCTGTTTCATGTAGAGGGGCCAGTTGGAGTGTCTTCTTGCTACAGTGGATATCCATCATCATAATTGTAATAGTAATAATGTTAGCATTTTAATGAGAGTTAATTTTAGGTTCTTATATGAGAATGGATTATCCCGAACTATAGTGGACATTCTGAGGGGGAGAATGTCCAACCCCCTTTGCTTAAATTCTAACCTATTTCCCTTTGCATTTTTTATGGTCCACATTAAAAATCCCATAATATTTGTCACATTATAAAAACGCTAATATTTTCTTTCTGACCCAGCACATCCCTGGTTTAAAGAAAATTTAATTATCAACTCTTGACTTAAAGCATGTATAACTACCCTGCTTCCCCCCAACATAGATAGATATAAATTCCTGCTACTCCAGTTTGGTAATAAATACCTAACATAATAATAAGTGGTAAAAATTATTTAGCAACTATAGATCATTTCATTTTTATGTTTATTCATACATTTATATTTTCTAAAATAAAAATTCAATGTTAGCAAAATGGTACATTTAACAATTAGCTGATATTTCAATAACTAAGCCTATAAGAGGCACAAACAGGTAGTTTACATAGTGAAGTAGAAATGGCTCACAGTAGGTCACCCTAGCTAGTCCCAATGTAGAAATGATGGGCCTGGTTTGATTTCTAACATTTTAGCAATGGTCAGGTCTTTGGGGGTCATATCATTGCACTCCCTCTCATGTAAGAGTTGAATAGAATGTCACACACATAAAGTAATTTAATCACTTGAATACAGAATACATTTCTCAAACATCATATGATATATTTTATTCCCTGGTCATTATCTTGAGTGTGTTTGATGACCTCACTACAATAGAGTTCTGTGGGTGAACATGACGTTTTATGCTTGTCCATAGCAGTTGCTCAGTGAGCATTTGTTGAACCAGTCAAGCTGGCCTATATGTTCCACATAGGATGGGATAGTATATTCATGGCTGTGTATTTTTTTGTTGTTGTTAATATATTTTATTCATTTTTTACAGAGAGGAAGGGAGAGAGACAGAGAGTTAGAAACATCGATGAGAGAGAAACATCGATCAGCCGCCCCCTGCACATCTCCCACTGGGGATGTGCCCGCAACCCAGGTACATGCCCTTGACCGGAATCGAACCTGGGACCCTCCAGTCCGCAGGCCGATGCTCTATCCACTGAGCCAAACAGGTTTCGGCAGCTGTGTATTTTTTATTACTAAGAAACCAGACATAGCCAATTTCTGTTGAGTAAGCATTGGCTGTCCTAGGAAAGTGGATGAGCGGTACTGTTGCCAACTATTTTTTTATTTTGGATGCTTCTTTCCTCTTCAGATTTCCCTAGGTTTTCATATCCAGAATGAGGAATTGGTCTGGATTGCTGACACTGGGCTGGAGAGAGGCCTGAGATCTAGGAAATGTGCCGCTTTGGCCACAAGGAGGAGCTGTGGCTCTATTGAAACCTCTGAGCTGGGGGAAGGGAGAGGACTGGGAGTCAGTGGAGGGGTGGGATGAGGAGGGAAGCTAGGGCTTTGGGACTCCATCTTTATGTCATTTAGGGGCATCAGTGGTAGACATCCCAACAATATTAAACTAAAATCTTTTTCAAATTGATTTCCCTTTGTCTTGCGCCAATTCCTGTGTTCTCTTTTAGCAACCTGTTTGCTCTAAGCCCAGCCAAGCCTTGTACTCTCAATACAGAGGCAGACGCTGGTTGTCCCTTGTATGGTTCCCTCAGCACCCTTCCCCGTGTCTGGCTCTGGGCCTACATCACGATCATGTACTTTAAGTGATGGGCACTATTCCATCCAATCTTCCTCCCTCCATGCAGTTGGGCAAAGGCCTCCAATGAGCCTAGACACTGAGGGGAAATGGAATTTTGAGCGATGTCCTGCCTGACTGAGCAGGGAAGGAAGGAGGCAATTATATGTGGCTGAGAGGAGTCCTGGGAGGATGAGAATAGAGAGAGAAACTCTATGATGAGGAAGGCAGCTAATAGCAAAAGAGCAGCTGCCAGAGGAATAACCCATCCCGGTCCATTGAAATCCATCCTCTATCAGAATCTATATAAGGCATGAAAGGGGGCAGAAGGACTGTCCCCTGCAGCCAGGGAAACTGTCAGCGACAATGACATCATAGGCAGAACCACCAACCAAGGCCTATGAGACCAGAGCCCAGCCCCCCCTGCCAGAATATCCCAGTTAGAAGATGCCACTCATCCTGATTCCACCATGGACTACAAGCTGCTCTGCTATGTGGCCTTCTGTCTCCTGGGAACAGGTGAGTCTTGGGCTCAAATTGTTTTCTTTGAATTCCAAGCCCTTCCCCTGTGGCTGCAGCAATACCCTTCTTTCTAGGCTTTGTCTGAATTTTGTCCCTTTCCCCCCAACAGTCCTCATGGACACCGGAATTACTCAGATGCCAAGACACCTGGTCATGGGGATGAGAAATAAGAAGTCTTTGAAATGCAAACAACATCTGGGGCATAATTCTATGTACTGGTATAAACAGAGTGCTCAGAAGCCACCAGAGCTCATGTTTGTCTACAACTATCAGGAACTCGTTGAAAATAACACTGTCCCGAGTCGCTTCTCACCCGAATGCCTAGACAGCTCTCAGTTATACCTTCACGTGGATGCCCTGGAGCCAGAAGACTCCGCCGTGTACCTCTGTGCCAGCAGCAAAGACACAGCCTTGCAGAAGCACCTTCTGCCTGTGCAGAAACCGCCTGGGTCCAGTCAGGAAACTGGGGGGTAACCAAGGCTCCATTCAGCATTTCCTGTGAGAGCCCAGACAGAAATCTCAGAGCACAATGCTGCCTGTCAATTCACTGGCTATGACAATGTTAAATCCCATTCAGACCCAACAGCCTGTGGCCTGGCCTTGTCTTGAACATGACTATGCGTGGACAGAATGTGCAAGTTCTTCATTATTTTCCTATCAGCTTGTGTCCTGGGAAATCTTTCATGAGGCACCTCACACCCTAGTCACAGCAGGCCTACCAAGCCTGCTTCTAATAGATACCTTTCCCTGACTTCTCTTTCCAACCAAGTTAGACACGGACTACAGCCCCAATCCCAGCTGTAATTGTGCTCAGACCTTTTCTAAAACACCTTCCCTCACCTTGTGGCTTTGTCCGTTCCCACCACTGAGGATAATAGTTTCCTAGTCCAGTTTGGTTGTTTTTCCCTTTAGTCTCTTGATCAGAACTGTGAGTCACAGAGTCCATGCCTCTAGATCGTTGCTCTGAATTGGCTGTAGGAGAAGACAGTGGGTCCTGCTTGTGTGATCAGGTCTTCACACCCAGCCAGCTGACCTAAAGGCCACATTCTCCAAGGACCCTTGTGTAGCTACAGTATTTCACGTAGGGCCTGTGGGCCTGCATGCTCCAGGACACATGGGGCTGAGCCAGGGGCATCACATGTCTGCACAGGCACTAAGGCTCAGGGTGCCAGCCCTTACCTAAGAACACCAAAGCCTTGAGCTGGGAACACCCCTATTCCCTGACCTGCCATGTGTACCAGGCTGCTCTGTTTTGTGGCCTTGGGAGCCAATGAGTCCAGGAAACAGAAGGAGACTTTTGATGTGGGCTTTTCAATCCAGATCCTCAGTATTTCCTTCATCTGGACAGCTAACAGAAGCCATGAATGTGCAAGTCAAGCAGATGCCAAGATCCCTATTGTAGAGATAAAAAAAGAAGCTGGTCTTTGAATGTTTTTAGAAAGTGAACCAATTTCTGATGTATTGGTGTCAACAAAACCCAGGACTAAGCCTCAGACTGATCCATTGGCCAGTGATGAATTTATAGGCAAAGCAGATGGGCTTAAGGCAACCTGTCTAAAAAAAAAAAAACAAAAACAAATTTACCATTAAAAATTCCCTCTAATGGGGTCTAAGCAAGCTAGACTTGACCCTTTACCGTGGATTGGGTATTTGTCCTCTACTTTCAGTAACAGGGGTGCACAGCTGTAATCACTCCCTTCCATGCACTCTCTCCATCACTGACTCCAACTCCTGGGAGTCTTTCTGTGCATCCTGGTTCTGCAGTTGAATCCTTATCCGATTCTGTTTTCCCAAGTCCCTTTGTTTATATATTTTTATTCATTCAGACTGGCTACTACCTCCTAGCAGACTAAGTATAGAGGGTTAGAATATTTTATTTCCTACTTGGGCATTGGAGAAAAACTTAAAGAAAATTAATCACATACACATGTGTTCTCACATCTGGGGAAATGGGCATTATATTATTATCAACTAGTAACCCTGCACACGAATCCAGGGGCCAGTAGCTCGCCAGTAGATTGCTGCTGCCCTCCAGTAGCTCTCTGCCTGCTGCCCCACCCTCCTGTAGCTTTCCCTACTCCCCTTACCCCCACCCCCTCATAGCTCGCTGTCCTGCCCCCTTCTGTAAGGCTCTGCTGCCTGCTTGTAGCTCACTGCCCTCCCTCCTGCTGATCCGTGATCAGGTTGTTATGTAGTCAGTCCATATGCTTCAGGGCTTAATGACCATTTGCATATTACATCTTTACTATATAGGATGAACAGAGGCAAGAGAGGATCTCTGAAATAAGAGAGTAGAAAAGAAATTCTCCAGCAGTGTGGGAACAGCAAGTAACATTATTTTTTAAACTGATCGAGTGGCGGGGGAGGGATAAGCTGATTAGTGGGCACCTGGTAAAGAGACCTGTCTAAATTATCTGCCTTATACTAGCTGTTGGGGTCATCAAAGATGCAACAACTTCTGCTGCCTGGCTAGCATGGCTCAGTGGTTGAGCATTGAACTATGAACCAGGAGGTCAGGGTTCGAATCCTGATCAGGGCACATGACCAGGTTGCAGGCTCTATACCCAGCAGGGGGCCAGCATGAGGCAGCCAATCAATGATTCTCCCTCATCATTGATGTTTCTATCCCTCTCTCCCTCTCCTTTTACTCTGTGAAATCAATAAAAATATTTTTTAAAAAACAAATTCTGCTAATTATTAATCATCAAAAAATCCTTGGGATGCCCTAGCTGTTGGACTCAGTGGATAGAGCATTTGGACTGAGGGGTCCCAGGTATGATTTCGGTCAAGAGCATGTACCTCAGTTGTAAGCTTGATCCCTGATCCTGGAAGGGGCACATGGGGGAGGCAACCAATTCATGTGTCTCTCTCACATTGATGTTTCTCTCTCCCCCACTCTTCCGCTCTCTTTAAAAAATCAATGAAAAAATATCCTCAGGTGAGGATTAACAACAATAACAACAAAATCCTTGGGAGTCTATCTGCAGTCCATCTCCATGACCACCTTTTTTCCTCTTACAATAAAAAATCCAAAATCAGCTAGAACTGGATTTTTGTACCTTTAAATTAAAAAAGAAAAACACAGTGCAACAAGAAAATGGTAAAATCGTTCCTAATATAAACACATCCTTGGACTCTTGCCCTCTTGTATCGTGGCTAACTCTAAATCTTGGTTACCAACAAAACACATCTCATGAGGGCACTGTGGAACTGCCCAGCTCCAAAAGTTTCTGGGGCAGAGCTAGGGATCTGAGCTAGCTGCCTGGGGCCAAGAGGGTTAAGCAACAGCCTTGTTTGGTGTTTTATCTGCTGTAAGACTTAATACCATAAACACTATTTTGCAGGTGCTGTCCCAGCCAGGAGTCATGAATTTCCATTGAGCAATGATTAGGGGGGCTCTCTGAGCTTGCAAGGGAAAGTGAAGGGTGCAGAGCTGGTAGGAGGCAGCCTGCATGCCCTGGGAGCAGGGACAGGTAGAGGAACAATTGCCTCATGGAAAAGCAAAGATGCTGTGGGGACCAGCATGCTACCAAAACCCAGCCCACCTCCACCAGCCCCTCCAGCCACACATGTCATGCAAGAGGCTTAGCAGGACAAAGCAGGGTGCCTACGTCAGCTGATCTAGGGACCTGGCAAAGGAGGCCAGGCTCATGGGAACCAGCATAGACAATGACATTAGAGCAGTGACATCACTGCCTGACTTCCAATCAGAAGGTGCTCAGAACATTAGTTCTTAGAGGACCAGAACTCTGAGCAAGGAGACTCCTGCCCAGTTCTGCCCCACCCTGCCATGGGCTCCAGGCTCTTCTGCTGTGTGGCCCTTTGTCTCCTGGGAGCAGGTATGTCCTTGGCACAGGTGGGGCATCTGTTCTAAGCCTGAAAGCACCTGCATCCAAGGCAGCATCAGGGTCCCTCCCCTGCTCTTTTTCCAGCTTCTGTCTCCTTCCCTCACAGGCCCAGTGGATTCGGAAGTCACCCAGACTCCAAGGCACCTGACAAAAGCCAGAGGACAGACAGTGACACTGGGGTGCTCCCCTATCTCTGGGCACTTGGCTGTGTCTTGGTATCAACAGCCCCAGGGCCAGGGCCTCCAGTTCCTCATTGGGTACTACAACGGGGAGGAGAGAGCAAAAGGAAACATCTCTGATCGATTCTCAGGGCAACAATTTGATGACTACAGCTCTAAGCTGACCATGAGCTCGCTGGAGCGGAAGGACTCTGCCCTGTATCTCTGTGCCAGCAGCTTAGCACAGCCCTGCAGAGTCACCTGTGTTCTGTGCATAAACCTCCCTGGCCCAGCATGGAGCAGCCTCAGTGCTGATAGGGCTGTGGGAACCTAGGGCTCCAGTGGTAACGCAGAGTGACTGGGGACCCTGGGAAGTGCAGCCTAGGGCTCTTCTGAGACAAAAGCCAGAGGACAGATATTGACACTGAGATGTTCCTGAGAACAAAAAGAGCTGGTCAGATGCTACATCACCATGTTCACTCCCAGATTACCTTCCCTGCCTGGCACTCTATGTGATAAAAGTAGAAGAAGGGTCTGTAATGTAATAGCTCTCACCCTCTTTTGGGAGGGGGAAGAGTTCATTTGAGGATCAAAGTTGTTGGTTAAATGTGTGGTCTAGAAGATAAAAACAACAGGAATTTGTTTTATGTAATTTATGAAAAAGAAATTGAAATTTGGGGAAAATCTAAGAGAGAAAATATGACTGAAGATGTTTGAAAATAGAGATAAAGCTAAAAGATTATTTTTAAAAAACTGTTATTTGTAACATTTTTCTCTTCCCTCCCAAAATTTTCAATGCCCAGAAAATATAAATCAAGGCCTTATAGCAACTGGCATCCCAGTGGTAAGCCCCAGGTGAGGCCATCAGCACACAAGATGATAATGTGAGAACCCTGCGATTGATTCTGACTTCTTCTTCTTGATTCTCATCCC